CTTTTTCCTGCTCCTTTGGAGGTAACAGCTTGAAGGAAGGCTTGCGACCCTACTCTTCTCTCAACTCAGGAAGAACTGGATGACGAATCAACCTGTCTGTTAAATTTTTTTTTCGGAAGACCTTTTGCCATCGTACGACTTTTCTTCACAACCAAACCACCCTTCCCATCAAGGAGCCTTTTACAGAGCGGACATTATTCAAATCAGAAGACCCTACCTCAACCATAGGATCGGGGGCCCTCATCTCAGACACAACACCCTTTCCAGGCCATTTGATCTAGGAGACAGACTTCACCCTCTCCTTCATGACCTAGAATGCCAAAGCTCGGGCCTCCTCACTAATGGATTTGGAGAGCTTTCCTCTTTACATGCTCAACGCTACTAAGGAGATGGAAGATGAATTTGAAAGAATGCATGGAAGATAAGTTCCTGCATCTCATTTATAATGGCTTTATCACATAAATCAAGTAGTTAATTTTTTCATATTAAATAATCATAAATTTCAGAAACTTATCTCAAATTTCAAATTTTCATGTCCTTATTGCAGCTGTCGCTATTAAGAAAAACATAAACTAGAAACTTTAATATGTATATCAAAAATATGTTAGCAAAAATCACAAAGACATTTCATGTATGGCGGAAGAGGTGATGTGGCCCCATAGGACCCATTGATGATGACCCAGGATCACACGCTTAGCCATCATGCCCTCACGTACTGGGAAGACAATATAGCTCATACGAATAAAGAATATATCACTCCCTAAAGAATCCATCAGATCAGCTATACATGGGTGAACCTGACAAACCCTCTAGTCCTAGAGCGATTGACTTAGAACATCGATAAGTAGCCACCTGGCCTGAAGACTGCTCGACATGATGACAACCCAGCATAAAAACTACCCGAACATATTCGTGGGCCACTTAGGCCAAATTTATGTATAAACAAAAATACCCGGACCCCGCCATACCAGTCTCCAGGCGTACAACATGTAATTGAACATGATCCATTCTTATAAATAAGCGGGTCAATTCATGAGTAAACGTTACATAATTTTACTCTGCAAAAGGGTCAGAAACGACCCCTTGTTCCTCTTTCTCTTGCTCCTTGGAGGTAACAGCTTGAAGGAAGGCTCACGACCCTTATTTTCCCTCAACTCAGGAAGATCTGGGCGACGAATTGACCTGTCTATCAAATTGTTGTTTGGAAGACCCCTTGCCATCGTACAACATTTCTTTACAATGAAACCCCCCTTCCCATCAAGGAGCATTTTGCAGAGCGGCTATTATTAAAATAAGAAGACCCTACTTCAACCATAGGATTGGGGGCCCTCATCTCAGGCATAACGCCCTTTCCAGGCCATTCTATCTAGGAGACAGACTTCACCCTCTCCTTCATGGCTTAGAATACCAAAGCTCGGGCCTCCTCAATAATGGATTTGGAGAGCTTTCCTCTCTACATGCTCGAGATAAGTTCCTACATCTCATTTATAATGACTTTATCACATAAATCAAGTTGTTAATTATTTCACATTAAATAATCATAAATGCCATAAACTTATTTCAAATTTCAAATTTCAAATTTTCTTTTCCTATTGCAGCTATCGCTATCAAGAAACAAGAGAATCGAGAAATTTTAATATGTATATATAAAATATATTAGCAGAAATCACAAAGACAATTCACGGATGGTAGAAGAGGTGATGTGATCCCATGGGACTCATTAAGAACGAACCAGGATCTCATGCTTAGCCATCATGCCCCCACATACTGGGAAGACATTATAGCTTACACAAATAAAGAATATATCACTCCCTAAAGAATCTATCAGATCAGCTCTACTTTGGTGAACTCGATGCCTTCCAACCCAGACCGAGAAAGTTAAACAAACCCTCTAGTTCTGGAGAGGTTGACTTAGAACATCGGTAAGTAGCCATCTGCCTGACGACCGCTCAGCATGATGACCACCCAGCATAAATGGTACCCGACCATATCCGTGGGTCCCTTAGGCCATATTTATATATAGACTAAAATACCTGGTCCCCGCCATACCAACGTACTCCATGGGTATGACATGTAATTGTACGATGATCCATTCCAATAAATATGAGGGTCCATTCATGAGTAAACATTATGCAATTTTACTGCTCAATGCTGAGCTAATGGATTTGGAGAGCTTTCCTCTCTACATGCTCAACACCACTAAGGAGATGGAAAAGAATTTGAAAGAATGCGTGGAAGATAAGTTCCTGCATCTCATTTATAATGACTTTATCATGTAAATCAAGTAGTTAATTATTTCGCATTAAATAAACCTAAATGCAAGAAACTTATTTCAAATTTCAAATTTTCTTGTCCTTATTGCAGCTATCACTATCAAGAAACAAGAGAATCTAGAAAATTTAATATGTATATCAAAAATATGTTAGCACAAATCACAAAGAAAATTCATAGATGTCGGAATAGGTGATGTGGCTCCGTGGGAGCCCTCGAGGACGACCCAGGATCACACGCTTAGCCATCATGCCCCCACGTACTGTGAAGACAATATAGCACATACAGATAAAAAATATATCACTTCCTAAAGAATTCATCAGATCAGCTCTACTTGGGTGAACCCGACACCTTCCAACCCAGACCAAGAAAGTTAAACAAACCCTCTAGTTCTGGAGCGGTTGACTTAGAACATCGGTAAGTAGCCAGCTGGCCCGACAATCGCTCGACATGATGACCACCCAACATAAAAGTTACCGACCAAATCTGTGGGCCCCTTAGGCCATATTTATATGTAGACTAAAATACCCAGTCCCCGCCATACTTAGGTACTTCAGGGGTACGACATGTAATTGTACGATGATCCATTCATATAAATAGGGGACCCCAATCATGAGTAAATGTTATGAAATTTTACTACTTAATGTTGAGTTATTGCCCTAAATATATATATATATATATATATATATA